CCTTCCTTCCTTCCTTCCTTCCTTCCTTCCTTCCTTCCTTCCTTCCTTCCTTCCTTCCTTTTTTCCAGATAGAGTTTCTCTGTGTAGCCCTGTCTGTCCTGGAACTCCCTTTGTAGACCAGGCTTCCCTTGAACTCACAGAGATTCACTTGCCTCTGCTTTCCAAGTGCTGGGACCAAAGGCCTGTGCTACTACCACCTGGCTACAAAATAAAGTCTTAGGAAAAACAAAAACAAAAAGCAATAGGCAGGTGAGGTGGTGCACACTTTTAATCCCAGCACTCAGGAGGAGAAGCAGGTGGGTTTGTGTGAGCTCAAGGTCAGCCAAGCCTGCACAGTGAGATCCTGTTTCAAAATTAAAAAAAAAAAAAGAGGGGGTAAGAGAGACAGAGAGGAAGGAAGAATGGGGCTGGAGATGTAAAAAGCACTGAGCACAGTGCTTTGCTCGCAGCTTGCACAGGGCACAAGAGGACAGTATGCTTCCCGGTGGCACACCGGTCATGCTTGCACTAAGGAGGCAGGAGGATCGTGAGTTCTGTGGCATCCTGGGCCACATACTAAGACCTCTGACTCCAAACGTAAGCGGGGGCTGGCAGGTTGGTTCCCAGCTGACAAGCCTGGCAAGCCTGGCAAGCCTGGCAAGCCTGGCAAGCCGACTTTGATTCCAGAACCATGTGAGGAGAAGACTGACTACACAAAGCTGTCCTCTGGCCCCACGTGTGTGCCCGGGCATGCGCATGCGCGCACAGCAACAAGGAACAAGAACGTGCTAGGAGAGGGAATGAGACCCCTCCCTGCCTTTCAGTACACAGACTGCGTCCCCTATAACATGAGCTTTAACACTTGTCCCCTATAAGCCATAACGCCTTCTCTTCGTTTCTCACCTCCAGGGGCTGCAGTAAACCTCACCCTGGTCACTCCAGAGAAGGCGATCAAGCTGGCAGCCAATGACTTTTTGCGGCAGCTGCTCATGCAGGACGGGTAAGGACAGGTGACAGTGGTGCAGGGAACCTTCACTATGTGCCTGTCTTGCGGGCGCCAACATGCCTCAGTTTATCTGTATGCACCTATATGAATAGGTGTACACACGTGGCTGAGGTCAGTGTGTTCTGACACATAGGCAGTGAAGGGAGAGGGTGAGCAGGTATAATGCGGAAGAGAGAGAGTAGTCGAGAGGGGATGCAGAGCGCATAGAGTATGTATTTAGCAACCAGCTGGTGAATTCTTCTGTTTGTTGAGACAGGATCTCCCCATTTAGATCTGCCTGGCCTGGAACTTACAGCGATCTTTCAGCCTCTACCGAATGCCCAGAATCCTAGCCTTGAGTAGCCACACCCAACAAGCTGGCAGATCTTAAGCATCAGCCCTCCAACCCTCTCCTCTTCTGTGTCCCCACTCATCCTAGGGATGGCACTTAAGAGGCTGGAGCAAAACCTGACGTCACACTGGTGTCTCACGGTTCCTGATTTCAACTCAGTACATGCTGCCTCCCCGTAGCCTCTGCTGGAAATGTGTTTTCAGCTGTGCTCAGTGGCACTGTCTGTAATTCTAGCAGGAGCAGGTAGAAGGCAGACTCGGCAGGACTTCGGAAAAACTGAGGACAGCTTGGTTTACATAGTTTCAACAAACAAAAAGAGCCAGGCACGGTGATGCACGCCTTTGATCCTAGCACTCAAGGGGAAGAGGCTGGGCATGGCAGCGCACACCTTAACAAGACGGAGCAAAAAGGTAGAAGCAGGTGGATCTCTGTGAGTTTGAGGGAGGTCAGCTTGGCCTACACAGTGAGTTCCAGCATGGCCAGAACTATGCAGAGAAAACTTGTCTTCAAACAAAGAGGAACAGAGTTCCAACCATTCAGGAGGGTGGAAGGGCACAGAGTGGGGCAGGGCTGGCCTGAGACTAAGGACCTTCCTCCTGGTCCCACAGGATGCAGCGGAACCTGAAGATGGAGATGCTGGCTGGGTGTGGGGCTGGAATGTGTCAGGTGGTGGTCACCTGTCCCATGGAGATGCTCAAGATTCAGCTGCAGGATGCTGGCCGCTTAGGTGAGGCACATCCCAATTCATGACATCAGCAAGGCTGGGACAGCGAAGGCCCACCTCACTGCACACTCTCACTAGCCAGGCTCTGTGTGCACTCAGTTTCTAGGTCAACAGAATGTGTTTCATGGTGAAGACTGACTTTAACCCTTTCAGCTCCAGCCTGAGGCACAGAAACAGGGCCTGGGCTCTGGAGGATGAAAGCACATCTCATATCTCCATGTTAAGGACTTGATGCTCAGGCTGGATTCCTGAAGCTTTTTAAAAATGGGGCTTAGTTAAGAGGACTTGCTGCCTTCCAGAGAACTGGGGTTCAATTCCAGGATGCACACAGCAGCTTACCTGTAACTCCAGTTCCAGGAGGTCTAATGCCATCTTCTGGCCTCCTCAGGCAATGCATACATGTGACACAGAGACACATGCAGGCAAAGCAGGTACCTTAAACTATACACGTTTTAAATTTCAAATATGGAAAGCCAAACAAATCAGAACGCTGACAGTGCCACCCATACAGTGAGGACAAAGATTAAGCACTTGAGGAAGAGACAGGGCCCCTTTCCTCGGGGATGAACCAGCGTCTGTCGAAAGAAGCCAGTGTGTAACGTACCCAACGCCGCTGCCCTCAGCTCAGCCGCGCACACTGTGCTGCCTTAAGTGGCTTCAGGGCCCGCTGTGTCCCTGGTCTGCCAAGAGAAAGAGCCTGCCTTCTCATCTCTTCAACCTGGGTAAGAGATCCTAATACGAAGCTGGTGTGGTGGCGCAGGCCTTTGACCCCAGCACTTGGGAGGCAGAAGTGAGTGGATCTGTGACGTCCAAGCCAGCCAAGGCTGCATAGGGAGACTGTCTCAAAAAGACAAAGATGAACAAAACCCAAAACTAACCGAAGACAACGTATGTAAAAGCCGGAGCGGTGTGCTTGTCTGTAATCCCAGGAGGTCAGCCTGGGCTAAAAGAACCACTGATACACACTGCCCTTGGTGGCTGTGTCCCTCGGTTTTTCTTAGTCTACAATCTGCCGAGTAAGCAGGAATCCAGTTTTCCACTTGAGAATTTCTTTTCTCTAGATGGCCCCCCTTCCCAAACACACGCTCTGCTGCTATGTAGACCCTCTAGCACTGAGCCACACCCCAGGTCCTAGCTCCTAGCCTAGGCCACGTAAGACCCCCGCACTATGAGCAATAGGCAGTAGATCACCGCCTCTGTGGCCCTGCTGGGTGCTGGGGAAGGTTGGGATGTGGAGCTGGGGTCACGTCCTCTGAGCCAAGAGCGCAAACGCTTCTTGTTCTGTTTGGTCTTTGTGGTGCCGGGGTCAGGCTCAGTTCTCATACCACTGGGCAAGTGCTCTGCCCAGTGCTCCAGCCCTTTTCACTTCAGACCAGCTTTCACCACACTGCCCAAACGGACCCTGAACTCCCGGGCTTAAGCCATACCCCTGCCTCCGGCTCTTGACTAATCAAATGTATAGTGCAGGGTACCATGCCCAGCAAACCCTGGCTTCTAAGTGAACACGCGCTTTCAATACATCCAATCCTGCAGTCGTTAGCGGATCCACGAGTCCTGCCCTATCCATCCAACCATCCACCCCTCATACATCCAGTAAGACGGCCTTGATACCCAGGCTGCCTGACCCTGAACTCACAATCCTCCTGCCTCAGCCTCCCAAGTGTTAGGGCCACAGCCACGGACCACTGCACTCAGCTCCTCATCCACATTCACATTTTGTTTTGTTGGTTGAAATGGGGTCTTGTGTGACTGAGGCTGGCCTCGAACTTGGAAGATAGCTGAGGGGATCTCTGTCACACCCTGATCTGCTTCCCGAGTACTGGGGTAGTAAATGCGTGTGCCACCACGATCCACCCCCACCCCTCTAAAAATAAAAGCTAGCAGTAATTCTCCAGCCTCTTGGTGCTAGGTTTACAGTGAACCAGGAAGCCAAGCTTCAGTTAGACAAAGGACAGGCTTTGAAGAGGACACTACAGAGGGTTTAACACTGAACTAAGTTGACTGAGACAGAGGAGGTTAGAAATGGAGTGTGCGCCTGGTCTTGGAGTGAGGGAGAGGCAACCCTGGAAGAGGAGGAGGTCATTTTACACAAAAGCATTTGCTGGTGGCTTCTGACATTAAGCAGAACACTTATGGTGTTTCTGTCCCAAAGCGTCTACCTGAAGAGGCTCAGACAGCTGGACGCGGTGACCATCAAAGGGTTAATCAGGCTGGGCGGACTCTAATTGAGGTGCCATCATGGACCCTGGGATGTGTTTACCACTAAGAACCCCTTGGGCACCTGCTGGGCTTGGTGCACAAGCGGCTGCCTTTCCTCCCCAGCCGCCTATCGTCAGGCCTCTGCCTCAGCCACGCCTCCTTCCCAGCCCTACAGCACTGGCCCGGCTTCCACTCACAGGCGCCCATCAGCCACCGCCATCGCCTGGGAGCTGCTCCACACCCAGGGCCTGTCTGGTCTCTACAGGGGCCTGGGTGCCACTCTCCTCAGGTGAGACCCTGGAGTAGAGACCGGCCTACCTCACTCATGTTAGCAAATTGCTTCCCTTTGGAACTACTGCCGGTTCCTCTGCAGGTTCCAGGTGCTGGGCGGGGGCAGCTGGACAGGGCAAGAGCGTCCTTCCACATGGAGGGCAGCTGCTGAGAGGGCACTAGAGTGTGGTCTTTCTCCTCCACAGAGACATTCCATTCTCCATCATCTACTTCCCCTTGTTCGCAAACCTGAACCAGCTCGGGGTCAGCGAGCTCACGGGCAAGGCCCCCTTCTCGCACTCCTTTGTGGCAGGCTGCGCAGCAGGTTCTGTGGCCGCAGTAGCCGTCACCCCTCTGGACGGTAGGTGTGGAGAGAGCCAGGGTTTGGGGTCTAAGGGTCATCTTGCTTTATGAATCGGGCTCGCACATGGCCGTGTCCTCACTGTTCCTCGTCACCACATAGCCCCTCACCTTCCAGAGGCTTTCCTTTTTCTTCCCAGTAGTTCCCAGTCTTGGTGGTGAGAGCTGACCCTGGGGGAACTGTGAGGAAATACTCCCACGTGCTCAGGGACACACCCAGCCCCCTCACAGGCAAGCAGCAGTTCCCCCAATGGCGGGAAGGCTGAGGGAGAAGGCCCCTCTTCTCACAGTCACAGAACTGGCCTCAGGGCCTGCTCCTACAGGGAAAACCCACTGGATGAGCAGGACAAGCTCAGTCAGGTGTTTACTCGACCTAACTTCTGCTTCGTTCAGTTCTGAAGACTCGAATCCAGACCCTCAAGAAAGGCCTCGGAGAGGACACCTACAGTGGGGTCACTGACTGTGCCAGGTGAGCCTGGTACCCCAGCCCTCCATGCAGCACAAGGGACAGCTCATGGCAGGACTTGGGTTGCCCCTCACATGCAGTATTGGGAGCTTTCTGATTCTTCGAGTCTCTGCTTCTCCCCAACTCCTCCCGCCAGACTGCAGACCATCTGGAACTTTTAAGGACCCCCCTCTCCCCCACTGCAGTCCTCCACTCTAAAGATGGTGTACAGACACCCTGCCAAGAGGGCTTTAACGGCTCCAGTCTTGGCCTAGCGCTTCAGAGCTGCAGGCAGGACCACCACACGGCTCAGCCTAAACTTCATTGAGATCTTGTCTCAAAGGAGGTGTGGGCATGCTGTGGGCTCATTTCTAAAACTATAATCCTAGCCCTCAGGAGAGCGAGGGCAGCCCCAGGGCCAGCCTGGGCTACACCTGGAGACCTCTCCAAACCCAACAAAAACAAAAGTAAAGCTTGGAGAAAAGTCATGAGTTAACGTGCTCTTAGCCCTTCACTAACAAGGCTCTCCTTTCCTCACAGGAAACTCTGGACACAGGAGGGAGCAGCAGCCTTCATGAAGGGGGCAGGCTGCCGTGCCCTGGTCATGGCCCCCCTCTTTGGGATTGCCCAGGGCATCTACTTCATTGGCATCGGAGAGCGCATCTTAAAGCGCTTTGAGTAATCCAGCGTGTCCCTCAACTGGCTGGCCCTCCACTTGGGGCCTGACGTCAGTGCTGGAGCATGAGGTGCCCGCCCCGACGTATGTGGTAACTTGTAGCGCTACCTCAGAAGAGATGACCCATTTTACTAAGCGAGTAGAGCCCTCATCTCCCTTTATGAAAACTAAGCTCTGGGGTGCAGCCTACCGGGGGCACCCAGAAGCCCCAACCATCCTGGTCTAGCAGAAGCGGCCTTCCTGGGTTATCGTGGCAGGACCATGACACCTTGGGTAGGGGCGGAAGGGGCTGTTTCACACTAACATTCCCACCACAGGCAGGCGAAGCAGTGGCTGCGGCGTGTGCGGGGTCGGTGTTGTCTTGGTGCCGATGTGGTACAGATCAGAAGGGCACCTGGGCTGAACTGTGTACCCTCCTGAGCGTCACTCATGGTCGGATGAGCGGTCGGGCCGTGTCAGCAGCTGTCCTGCCCAGATGCTCACCCTGAAAATGGGCCGATTCCCTCCGAATGGATGCTTGTGGGACAAGAGCTGAAATAAAGCTGGTTAGATCCTTGTCCTGTAATCAGCAGAGCAGATGACTGACAAGGAATGTCTTCTCCAGAACCAGCTGTGGCCTCTGGGCCCACGGCAGTTCATGACCACCTTCCAACTGTTGTTCAAGAGTGGAGAGTAGCTGGGGAGCCGTCTTTACACTGAACCTGAGTTTGTTTGAATTATTTATGTGCATGTGTGCCCCGGGGGACCAGAGCGAGCCAGCACTGGGTCCCGTGAAGCTAGGTTGGGGGCCATCGTGAGCTGCCAGCTGTGGGCACTGAGAACTGAACTCAGGTCCTCTAGAAGAGTAGCAGGGGCCATCTCTCCAGCTCTTACACTTGAGTCTTGTCTCTGTGCCTGTCACCTCATCACCGTGTCACACTAAGAAACCCAAGCAAGCCTCACAGCCGGAGTCCCTCTTCTGTATGTAGCCTGCTGCAGAGAAGTGAACGATGCCGGGCGACATCCGGTTCTGTGAAAACAATCCTGTTTAAGAACGGTGCTTCCTGGGTCAGGCTGGAGACATGGCTGAATGGTGGAGAGCTTGCTTGGCACACGCCAAGCCCAGGGTTCCACCCCCAGCACCACATAAGCTGGGTGTGGCGGCACAGGCCTATAATCCAGCATTTAGGAGGTGGAGGCAGGGTAGGAAACTGAAGGTCATCGTCTGTCAACAGGCAAGTTCTAGGCCAGCCTCGACTGCACGAGACCCTGACAAAAGCCAAAACAAGACTGAAAAGAACCCCCATTAGGCCCACCTCACTTAAAACTTGGGTTGGGGGGGGGGCGGGTGTGCATGCAAACTATCCACCTGAATGGCCTCATCCTCAGTGAGATAAGACCTAAACAATTCTGTGCATTCGCCTAAGGACCATGGAAAGCACGGATGAACAGTGAGGGGATCTGTACTAAGTTCCTACCCTCCGGAACTTGGGCCGTTTTTCACTTTGTCCAAATAAAACGGTTTCAACAAAGCTGCACAGGCCATAGGTTGGGGGCGTGGCTCACCAGTGCAGCTCTGGGACCCACCCTCTAGCTCAGGTGCACATACACAAGCTGTCTAGCCTCAGGACAGGACTAGAGAATACCTGTATGATGTCCATTCAGTCACAGGGCTGCAAAAAGATCTAGTGAGCAGTTAATATACAGCAGGGATTTGGGGCAATTCCTCTCTAGGTTCCTCTGTAAGAACCTTCTTGGTTTTAGGGGGTGGTGATGGTAGGTGGGGTCTTCTTTGTTGCCCAGGCTGGCCCCAAACAATCTTACCATAGCTGGGACTACAGATGTGTGGCACTGTGCCCAGTAGAACTTACACACAAATCACAAACTCGGTGCCTTATGTAAAACAACCACCAGGAGCTGGAGAGATGGCCAGAGGTTAAGAGCACTGGCTGCTCTTCCAGAGGTCCTGAGTTCAATTCCCAGTAACCACATGGTGGCTCACAACCATCTATAGTGAGATCTGGTGCCCTCTTCTGGCCTGCAGGTGTACATGCAGGCAGGACACTATACATAATAAATACATAAATCTTAAAAAATAAACCACAACCAGATCCACATGAACCTTTTGTTTTAATGAATAAAGAATACTGTGGCTTAGATTTTAAATCACATCTGCAGATAAGGAAGACCAGGACTGAACAATAACAGTGAAGCTCGTGCTGCGGGGGAGCGCAAGGCCCACCTGCACTTCCCACCCACAGGGCGGGGCAGCATGCACAACTCACTCTAGACTCGCCTAGGAGCAGGGGAAGAATGGGTCCTCGGGGAGGGCCGGCGCACCATCTGACCCTCACGTCCTGACAGAACCAGGGCACAGCTGTGGTCAGGTGAGCTGGGGCTGGGTCCCATCCACACCAAGCGGCCCTGCTGTGGTCACGGGCTGAGGGCATTAGCTGCAGAGGGCGTCCACTGATTACCAGTATTAGAACAGAAAGAGAAAGCCACACGGACATCTGCTTCTCCAGGAGCACTGCACCTCCCCGGCTCAGTCCAGAAACTTCCTGTTTGCATTTGCACCAAACAAGGCTCCTCGGACTTCCGGCATCATCTGTAAAGAGTCAGTAAATAAGGACCTCAGTCAGGGACTTGTGCAGTCGTAACCCCCATGTGGGGAAAGGAAGTCGGAGCTACAGCAAAAGGTCTCTCCCGTCTGCTGCCTGGTGCGGTGCCAGAGAAACGTAAGCAGTCAGACGGCAGGCTCACTGCCTACAGAAGGGACAGGGAGAAAAGACAGACCCGGAGTCCCGACTACACAGCCGTCCCACTGCAGCACTGAGATTGTGTGTCTCACCCAGCGGGTCGGAGGTGCTCTTTCATCTGCTGAGTGCCTACAACCTGCCAGGAGTGCCCCCAAAGGGCACTCAGAATGGCGTCTGTGCTGAAGCCTCAGCAGGCAGCTAAAGGACTCTGCCTTAGGACCACTAAGGCCCGCCACACTGGCTTTTAGGTCTCAGGCACTCCGACAGTCAGGTCAAATACCGGGAAAGAGCTCAGCGTGGGCTACAGCGGTTTGATAAAAGCCAGCATTCCTCAGGAGCTCGTGAAAGGCTTTCCCACTGCCAAAAGGAGTCACTTCCCCTCCTGCAGAAGGGGCTGTGGTGGCCCTCAGTATGGCAAGTACCTGTGAGACATCTCAGGGCAGCACCCAGCCCTTCTCACCTCCCAGACAGCCGTCTGTTCTCTTTAGGACTCCTGGACCCTGTCCTCCTCCTCTCCCCCACCATGCTCTAGTCCTTATCTCGTTATCTCAATATTCTGCCCTCTTCCAACCCTGGCCATGTCCTGTCTGCTGGCCATGTTTGGTCTACTTTCTCTCTCTGCTCTGGACTCTCTCAGCCTCTGGCTGCTCTGTCTCATATCCATAATAAAAGCCTTAACCATATCATGGAATGGTCATGTCAACACTCTCTTTACTGTGCCCCCTCACATATAGCTTTATGTGCTGGTGAAGAACAGAAAGGACCGTGTGCGAGTGAGGGGGGAAGAGAGAGAACATGGTAATCCCACTCAGCTTCCCAAGCAGCTATGCTACCACATCTGGCTAAACTACTCTTTTTGTCTTTTAGAGACCAGGTTTCTCCATGTAGCCCTGGCTGGCCTGAAACTCACCATGTAGAGCAGGCTGACCTTGAATGCACAGAGATCTGCTTGCCCCTAGGCACGCACCTCCACCCAAAACTGTACTTGTAGGTCAGGGAGTAAGAAAGTTAACAGTGCGTTGCTGACCACCACGCCTGAAGATGACCAGCACTTTAGGCTTGTTTCCCTGAGCTCAGCGTGCAGATGCGGAGACAGGAAGACCGGCGCCTCGCACTCCCTGGGAAGGGCCTGTGTTCTCAGTAGCACTGCGGCAGTTCCAGGCACCAGCACCACAAGTCCCCGCACTCACCTGCTGGGCTATGAGGTCCAGCCGGCTTTCCAGAGTGTTGGAAACCTTGATCTTGCGGTCCCCATTATAGATTTCAACTCCACCAGCTCTGCAGAGAACACAGAAAATAACAGGAGTGACGAGGCGTGACCCTCAGCACAGGGCAGCCTAGGCATGTCAAGTGCACACAGGCCAACAGGCTTGCCATTATTTCAGGGGCCTCAGTGAGAACTCAGGGAGCTCTCACACAGGCTACCAGACTGCTGAGCCACTCCTGTGGTCACAGCGCACTGCTCAATGCCAGCTAGCCTCCCAGCAAGGTGGAAAGTGCCTCAGCTGTCAATCATCAGAGGCGGCAGACAGGGAGGACAGATGACACAGCATCCTGGCTGTCTACCGGCTCTTCCAGCCACTTCCCCTCATTTGTCACCCCACTCCTCAGAGCCTCTCAGCAAGAGGCAAACGGTCAAGTATTACAAGGAACCATGGGAAACAAGGTTCACCTAGGAACAACCCTCTCAATTACGGAGCTAAATGGACCATCAGACAAGGGCCCAGATACAGTCTGAGACAACGCCTCACTAGGCTAGCCTGGGACTCTCATCTTCCCCTTTTTCTCTGTGTAGCCTGAGCAGCATTAACTCTGGCTGTCCTTGAACTCACAAGAGCTGCCTGCCTCTGCCTCTGCCTCCCAGGGCGCTGGGATCCCAGGCAGGTGCCACTGCCCCTGGCTTCATCTTCCCCTTTCTCTCCACAGCCCATGCGCTTCACAATGGCAGGGTGGAGCTCTGCTGAAGTCCCCCCTGGCTGTTTTTGTTTTGGGGAACGTGAAGATAGTAAGGGAGAATAAGAAGCAAACATGATCCAGGCACACACTGAATGTCAGCTGAGGTTTTCTTCGCTTTCCTTCTGGGTTTTGAGACATGGTTTCCCTACATGGTACAAACTGGCCTCAAACACACACTCTATCCTTGATCAAGCCAAAGGCTGAGACGCATATGGTCTATCCTGCCTCAGCCCCCTGAGTGTGCACCACGCCTGATATGCCTACAGCCTGCTGCGGCTTCTTGACCTTCCGAGTAACCTCTGAATGTACTCCAGATGTGGCCAACGAGGAAATGCCCCGAGAAACTGGAAAAGAAGTGAATACTAACCACATCAAACAAATACCACTTTGCCCGAAACAGAAGTCTGTAATCTCGTAACTGTAATACTAAAATTCAAAAGGCCCTGAAAACAATAATTAATTCATGTATCCGGCAAACAAGAACTGCCTCTCTCCTGTCATCTGGCAGAAACGAGCAGATCTTGACGTATTGGTCTTGCACACTGAAATCTTCCATACTGTTTTTTTCAACAAGGAACAGTTACACTGCCCAGGCCGGTAACTGCCCGGCTGAGGTGATGCCATCTCCCTGTACGGGTTTTGGAGAACACCCACTCCATGTACAGCATTTAAAACTACAATAGCAATAAGGCCCTCGGGCTGGCCAGGAGTTCCCGACAAGGCTCTTGCTTCAGCGTCTCAAGCACTGTGACTATAGGCAAGGGCCACGACGGCCAGGTTTTCCCCGGTAAAATATCAGTACACCTGGCTATGGCAGGCTGCCTCAGACCTGATGCTACACAATGGGAGAGCCAGGGACTTGATGACTCTTAGGGGCACACTATGCCTGGCAAGCTACAGCCCAGCCCCTTTCTCTCTCTGAAATTCAGAACACACATGATGACAAGGCTCCAGGGGGTCTCAGCCTCTGCAGCTCCTGCCTTTTGCACCGTCTGCTCTGTTTCCACAGCACACCGGCACCACTGAGTGCTGCCTAGACATGACCTCATTTGAATGGCTTCAACTTAATGAAGCCAGCTGGGCAGGGTGAGCCATGCCTGCGATCCCAGACTCCTGATTTCAGACTGCTGGAAACAAGACCAACCAGGTCTACAGGATGAAATCCTGTCCCGTCCCCTCAGCACTCAAAAAACAAAAACAAAAAAAATCAAGTCAAGGCTCAGAGATGAAGTAAGCGTTCCAACACCACTCAGACATACGTGGCAGAGGTGGGAGGCAAGCCCACACCTGAATCATGATATTCACGCCATCCCGGCTTCTACCTGGAGTAGCAAGAACTGAAACAAAACCCCACCCCCGCAAATCTAATTTTCATGACAATGTTCTCAACCCATTTCACATTCCTAAGCCTCATATTCTTTCCATTAAGTTCAAAATATGTCCCAAGATTCTGCTCCAGATTAGACAGTGGAAGCAATGTGTCAGACAGACGGACAGCTTTGGGCATCAATGCTGATTTCCTAGGATTTATGTTCCGTACTTTCTGTTGTGGAAAATGGGTTATTACTGAACTCACCAAGATAGGACAAATAGTGGGGTATTTTCTTTAAGGTTGCCAAATACATATGAGTGGACATTATGTATGTAAGTCTTATTTAATTTTCATTGTTTCATAAATCATTTTGTTTGTTTTCAACACAGGATTTCTAACTGTGCAGCCTTGGTTGTCTTGGATTCACTTTGTAGACCCAACTGCCTCTGCCTCCCAGAGTGCTGAGATTACATATGTGCGCCACTGCGTCTCAGAATTGTTCTTGGTGTATGTAGTTTATTAAAAAAAAAAAAAAAATAGCCTTTTTAATTAGAAAAAAAGGGGGAATTGCTACAGCACGGTCCGGTGCTTTGTATCTGATTACTAATTATTTGCTCCAGAAGTCTGCTTGCTCTCTCTATGAGCAAACTATCATGTACCCCAATGTTGCTGTGTAAACTTTGCCTCCAAAATTATCCCTGATTGGCTAAATAAAAGGCCTATACCTGGGCAGGGCAAACTTAGATAGACATGGCCAAGGTTTGTGGGCTTGCAGGATGAAAAGACCATAGGAAGGGGACAAACAGAGCTGAGGAAAGAACACAGGTGAGCATGGAGAGAACCACGCAGCTGAGAGAAATTTACCCTTGAGGATGGGCAGAGAAGCAGCCCAGATGAAAAGCATACGCAAGGAAGTGGCCCAGACAAGGAAGTGACCCGGACAAGGAATGACTAAAACAAATGACATGGGGGCTGGAGAGATGGCTTGGTGCTTAAGAGCACTAGC